CCCTTAGATGGACACAAGAAAACGTGTGTGTTTGGAGGTCTCACAAAAAGTGTCATATTTGATCAGGACTATCCACTTTTGACTACCAGCAAAAATAGTAACAACTGGTTACGTGGAAAGGTGGTTGAATGTACCAAGCCTGTAAGAGAAAGCCCCACTTCTCAGATTTTCACTGACTATGTGGTCATGCTAATGATGTCATAGAATCTTATCGAAAGGCCCTCTCTTAAGGGAAACAGCCATCAGTCCCTGGTGGGATGCAGTGGGGGACAGACTTTTGTATCTCACTGGAGGCCCTGAGCAGACAGTACTTGGCCTGATGCATGCACCATCTCACTGCGATCCTGGGGGAGACACTGACTCATTCCAAGACAATGCATTTCTCCCCAGGAGAGAACAAACCTGCCGAGGTGGCCTTGCCCGTGTCCTGCTGCTCACAGGCCCAGAGGTCGGGAGTGAAGGAAGAGCTGGGAGAGGAAAGGTGGAGAGGAGAGGTACATGGACAAAGGCTAACAGGACCTAGACAGACAGCTTCTGAGCTCCCATGGGTGGCACAGATCCCTAAAATGTGCATATGCACCCAGCTGAGTTATACAAGGTCACTCTGACAACGGAAATGGTTTAGATTTAAGGACAGGACCACTGATATTACTGCTTTGAATTTCTATCATTTTAATTTAGGCCATTCAATAATAAAGTAAAAGTTCAAAGAAAATAAAGCAGGCAATGGACCTGGAAAATGGTTTTATTTAAGATATTTTACTGTGTAGCAGGTTTTAAAATGTCAGCTTGCTCAGTAAACCTATGTGATGATTTAACTTGGGGCAAGGGTGTGAAAATGAATGAGGTATATTTAACCAGTCCTCATAGATCTGCTTGTGACTTGCAGGAGGCTGGGAAGCGAACCTAGGGACCCCTCAAGAAACAGAAACCAGAAACCCTCAGTTTTCTCCTCTGGAAAACAAGGAGTTCAGATTGCTTGTCCCTCCCCTGTGGGGTTCTGGTGAAAATTCAGGGGGACTGAGCATGTGCAGTCCACAGCCAGGGATGCTGTGAAGTAGCCATGGGTGTGCTCCTTAGGGCAATGCCTCTGGACTCTAGAAGCCTGCAGACCATTTAGGGAGGAAGGAGAATGCCATCATCACCACCAGCCTACAAGACTTCTTACTACAAGTGGGGGAAAGGTAGTCCTCCCCCAGCAGCAGGGACCAGTGACCAGAATGCACATTGGCCCTGAGCCCTGCTCTGTGACTTTAGGCAGTCCCCGGTCAGTTTTCTGTTTCCAAGCTACCACTTGAGAAAGGAAAGTTCAGCCAGTTTGGAAACCACTTTAAATAACACTCAATTGTCCCATTCTAATTCCTCTTCCATACCCCAACGATGCTCAGGAGAAAGTGTCACTCTGATGCTACTGCGGCTTTGACACCTCTCCCCTTTCCATTTTCACAGAGAGTACCCCCCCTCCCCATCTCTGACAGGTAGCATCACTTACCCAGAATTTGTGTTCTACTGTCACACCTGACTCTTCTTTTTTTTTGGTACCGGGGATTGAAGTTGGGACCTTGTGCTTGCGAGGCAGGTGCCAGAACCACTGAGCTAAATCCCCGGCCCACACCTGAGTATCTGAGTGCTTTGAAACTCACAGGATTTGGTATTCCATTCATTTTGATGCATCTTGTTCCAGTACTTGTTTGTTTGGTACTTGGTACACAAGCTAAACTTGTCAGTGTCCATTGTCCGGTGACCTGTCACCCTTTCCAGCCAAAAGAATTTGGGAGTCATCAGGTTTGGTATTTGTCACGGCTCCCAGAACCAATTAACAAGGATCACCAAGGTACCACTGCATTTCCTTTGTGTCTATTTCCACACTTCCTTCTTTATACAAGCAAAAGAAGTTTCTCATTAAAACATAAAATTTCCTACTTGAAATAAATGTACTTAATGTATAGGCAAGTACATTTAAACAAAGTCCAAGTGGCAAATAGATATGGCAAAAGTTATGAAGAAGGGGCAGGACAGACAGCAGTTTGGAATTACTGAGTCATCTGGTGCCATCACAAAGGAGTGGCCCTGACACGGCAAGGTGGATGAGTGTGAAGCTGAGTGAGGCTGGTGCCCTGCAAGTGGGTTGGGTGGAAGCAGCCTGCAGGAAGACCTCACCGGAAGTGGCAGTGAGAGGGGCCTGAGGCTGCACCTGTCATGAAACCATCAGCAAAGATACTCCTCTGCTTAAAACCAAGAAGCAAATAAGCAGCACATTGCCTTTGCACCTAGCTGGGCTCTGGCCACACCTGTGCCCAAGGACAGAGCTGGCACCTGATCCTCCACAGCTGTCTATGGAACCTGCACAGGAGAGAAATATGACAGAGGCTGGGATTACAGATGGCAGCAGTAAAATCAGAAAACAAGAAATGACATTTCCCCTAAACGTGTTATAACAACATCATCAGAGAAGAAACATAAACCTTGATGATTTATCTGGGGAGAGATGTTATTCATTTGTCTTTTGTAATTGCTGGTTGTGAGGATGAGTTGTCCATTGTCCAGAGTTTCAGTGAAAGACTTGCTTCAGGAGGCCTCAGGGTCGCAAAGCTCACCCTCTCCTAAGACTGACGGTGATGGCTCTTGTGGTCTCCACTGTTGCATACCACCCTGCACCTTGTCCTATTCTTTCTTTGTTCAACAAATACAGTCAGTGAGGGACTCAAACACTGATGGGTGCTGGGTTTCTTCAGTCTTAGGACTCACTAGGTTCCCCACCAGCAAGGAAGGCATGTATGCAATCCCCTGACCATCTCCATCAGGACACATCCCTATAGCTCAGCAGCAGAAGGTGACAATGGGGGTAGAACCCATGACGCCATCTTGGATGGTCTTCCCCAGGCCTGGTATGGTCAGGTAAGGTGGGTGGACAAGTAAGTGTGTGCACCTTGAGATGGCCTTATTGACCAATTACTGTTAATAATACTAATATTGGCTGCCCCCATTTATTGTGTGCCTGTAAGGGTGCTATCCTATGCCAAGCACTTTACGAGTTATTTGATTAAAATGTCCAATAACCTGAGAGAAAGAGTAGAAAAGGGGAGAGAGAGAGAGAGAGAGAAAGAGAGAGAGATCTTATCTTCATTGTATATATGAAAGCCAAGTGTCAGCTGGATTGTAAAACTGATGTGTTTAGGTTTGGCAGCTAAACCAGGTTTGTTGGATCCCAGTTCTCAGGACCCTGAAGACACAGAAACGGAGATGTGTCCCAAGCTGTGCATGGGAAGCCAGGGGACATCTTGGTACAAGAAGAGAACAAAGTCCTTCTGCCTTGGGTGAGGCTCTTGTCCCTCTGACAGAGCTGATCTTTGGCCAGTGCTCTCTTATTGTGAAGTCCCCACCTTGCCTTGTCTCAGCTCACAATGACCAAAGCCCTTTCCCATACTCTGCTTCTATAGCTGCTTCCTCTCTCCCAAGAGACAACTACAAAGCTCCCAAGCAGAAGGCGCCTAGGACACCCAGCACTTGGGTACCATCTCATCCAGTGCTGGGGAGAGCAACTTTCCCGCCCGCTACCTCCAGGTGTAGCAACCTTAGCTCCGCCCCCAGGAAGGGTGGGGGCATCGCTCCTGGGCCTTTGAGCCACTTCTATTTCCTCCATGCTTGAGAGTCCTCACTGACTAAAGCAAGACCTTCCCACAAATACACAAAGATTATTTGTCAGTCAAGATGGTTCTTCTCTTAAAATTGCAGAAACTAACCAGAAGGTAACTACAGCTGTCATTGCTGATGTGAAGATTCAGCTATCTAGAGGTTTGCACCATCGGTCTTTTTCAGGAAGGGCTCACAGCCCGCTGTGGATGTGTATAGATGCAGATCTGCCTAAGGCTGCTCCTCTCCCCCTGTCATACCCTTAGGGAAGACAAAATGTGAGCCCAATCCTAGGAGTCTCAGTCATTGACCAGCTTCCTCTACCACCAAACAGTTCTTGTAATATCTCTCTAGTGGAACATAGTATCAAAGTGAAATTGAAGTTTTTACCCTAAAATGCCTCACTTAATTCAGTAATAAACATCATGGGTGGAGGCATCAGATGAGCATGAACGACAATGTCCCCCTTTGCCATTTTTTCTGCTTTCACTTGTTAGATCAACCACTCCCAGCTCTAGGTGAAGACAGAGAGCAGAGCTCATGATGCTCTCCTCTCCTCAACCATCTAACCCAATCCAGAGCTGCTGTGAGGATGACTGAGGCACAGAAACTGAACTTCGGAAGCAGCAGATGAGACAACCAGAGTCCCTGGCCTACGGCTCTGCATGGGTCAGGCTGAGCTGCTCACTGACCTCTGACCCATGGCATCATCCCAGCTCGCAGGTGAGGAGGGCAGTCAATGGCTTGCTCAGTTGCATGAAGCTAGAAAGATGCAAAGGCAGAAATGTAGCCCATGTCTCATCCTGCAAGACCAGGTAGCTTTCTCCTTGGTGTCTCTGCTGGAGGAGAGCGCAGGAGCAGGTTCTGTCACACCACCTCTACAATGGCCAAGAAGCCCACGCACACTACTTACCAGTGATCAGGGCACATTTCCACTTAGAGAGCCTCTGCCTAGCAAGATATCATTGCCTTGACCAGGATTTCTCAACCCCAGCACTTTGGACACCTACTGAGACAATTCTTTGCAGTGGATGCTGCTTTATGTGTTGCAACACCCTTGGCTTCAAACCCTAGAGGCTTTGGGCATGCCCTAAATGTGACAGGCAAAATTTCCTCCAGGCATTGCCGAGTATCTTCTAGGGAGCAAAACTGCTCATGGTTGAGAACCACTGATCTGAAACACAAATCTATGTAGTTGAGTTGGACAATTTTTGCAGATTTTTTTGTCCTAATTGTGACTCAGACATGATTAAGAGTGAAAAACACAAGGGATGATTCAAAGCGTAAAAACCATGATCCATTGTGTCCACGTATTATTGACATAATTGCCGTGAATACAACACATCCTAGTCCACGCCCCAGGCTGAAATGGCTTTGCCCTCGCTGCTCTACATGATCAGGATCTGGTCATCTTTTTTTTTTTGGTATCAAGGATCGAATTCGAGACCTTGCGCTTGCAAGGCAGGTGGCAGAACTGCTGAGCTAAATCCCAGGCCCTAGGATCTGGTCATCTTGAGGAACCGCCTCTGTGCTTTCTGGGTTCAGATGTAAAGTAGCAGCGTGGCAGGGAAAGCAGGGTTGCTGTGACAAGCTAAGCAGGAGGGACAGAGCAAGTTCACCTTCACCAGAGCTCCAAGGGCGTCAGGGTGCAAGCACTCTAACCCAGCCACAAGCAGACAGGGCCACAGTTTGTCCTTATCATCTCTACAGCTACAGAGTGCAACGCAGCTTAGGGCACAGGTAGAGTCAGATACCTGTTTGTTAACTGATTGCTTCTATCTGGCCAGGAATATTAGATTGTTTCATGAGAAAAAAAATAGTTTCTTTATTACCTTGGCCAAGCCCAGGAGCCTCGTGGTTATGAGATGCACACAACCAGGGACTACTCTTGGATGAGCCCCTCTGTAGGCTCCACCACTGAAATTGCTGGCAATAAAGCAGAAGTTGCTTCTGCAGCCAGCCAGGATGGCTGGGACCTTTGATCCCAGTCAACCTGAAGGCCATCGTCAGTGGCTCCCACCAACCCTGATGTCACCCACCTCCCACCTCTGTGAATCTGCCCCTCTGGCCCATGGACCTCCAGAACCACTGATGCTACGCAGACAGGGAGCAGGGCTCCCACCACAGCTTGATGGCTGCATCTGAGCGATCCGTGCATGTGAATCCATGGGGACAGGAACAGACACTCACAAGGACAATCTGCTTCCGGGAGAGGCCCTGTCTGTCTCCAGTGAAGAGTCGCATTGAGGGACTACCAGGGGTGAGGCTTCTCAGCATCAGGAGTTCAGCTGAGTGACCTACAACAGGAAAAGGGCTTTGCAGAATGAACTCACACATCTGTTCACCTGCTCAGCACATACTTCCTAAATGTCCCCCACGTGCCGAGGCTCCCTGTGAAGTCAGCCAACTGCCAAGGCAGAGGGCATGGTCTCCAAGACCACCCTCACGTCTGACACCAACTGCAAGTTCAAGCAGACCCAAGGCCACCCTTGGTTTGACAGCTCTCCATGACTCAGAACTCACTGCGAAACTGTTACTCCAGTTTCACAGCTTACTATGAAGCAAAGGTACAGATTAAAGTCAGGCAAAAGAAGAAGAGCACAGGGCACAGACTCATGCCAGGAGTTCCCAGTTCCTAGTTCCAGCTTCATGGGACTTCCTCACAAAGGCAGGAGGACCGTGAGTGACAGCACTCATGGACGCTGCCTGCCAGTGAAGCCCACTCTGCCTCAGTGCCCTGAGTCTTCACTGGGACTTGGTCAGGAAACCTGAGTGTCTTTCCACGTGGCTGGCCCCAGTCTTACCTTTCTCTAGGGCTTGACAGTCATTGTGTGACACAGAGCTCCGGCTCTAGTCACACTGTTCCTATCTGGTTTAGCTCAAGACCTACTGCTAAGCGAAGACACTTTTGTTAGTTGTAACATCCCAGGACTTAGAAAGTCCCTTCTCAAACCAAGTGCAAAGACTGTACCTCACTTGAGGGAAGGAGAAATGCTTACTGCTCACTCTGAATCCTGAAGCTGTAAACGTAAGTTCGTACTTCACCTAAAACATGCACCTTCTCCAGACCCCACTGATAGGAACACAGAGGAAAATGTTGACCAGGATGCCTGTGGCTTTTGGCTTGCTCAGCATCTGCTGCTCCTCTGGTAAGAGCACGCCAACTGTCCTCCAGGAGAATGCACACTTCCTGAACCCGTGTCCCCTGTAGATCAGGGGAGACTAAACCGATTCCAACGAGGTCCAGCAGCAGGTTCAGACCAGCCGACCCAAGTCCAGCCTCCAGTTCCTGTCCAGTGGTTACCAGACCAGTGACTCATGCCAAGCAGTGACAGCAGTCCTGGAGCCTTCACTGACAGCCCTCTCTCGCAGGTGAAATGGCATGTCCTGAGGACGACAGTCACCACCTTGGCACCCTAAAAAAATAGCCAACCTGAGAATGAAGGGAGCCGGAGAAAGACAGAGCCAAGCTGTGCAGTGGCTTGGGAGGAGCACCGGGCCGGATCTGCCAGGATGCAGGCTTGCCACACTCTTCAGTGACAAACAGAGCAGTACTTTTCTTTTTTTTTTTTTTTTTTCTTTTGTCAAAATGTATTTGAATTGGGATTTTGTCATTTTCAACCCTTTATCTCTAACCCAAACACTCACCCTGATGTTTCCCCAATTTCCAGGTGTCTTCTGCATTTGCCCAGGCGTTGTCCAATTCCAATGTAAATGGTCTGAGCAGGGCTGGGTCCTGATCCTCTGCCTCCAGGAGGGCGGGCTGCCCACTGCAGACTCACAGGCCAGGTGGGAGAAGAGGGCCTGAGAGTTGGCGTGCTATCCTTGCTGTCATCAGCGTTCCTGTACCAGTCCCTGGTGGGAGGTCTTGTAAGGAGAGGGAATGCAGAAGGGGTTATCAACCACCGGAGCATTCCTCCTGCACTCAGAGTCTGGGAAAGAAGCACTCTCAGCCTCCCAAGAAAGGATCAGCCCACCGGAATACTGAAGCAGATCTTTCTCTTCAAAGTCATGGGTTTTCCAGGTGAGTATTTCCTCTATTATTTTGCTTTTAAGGAAATTCAGACTACCTAGGTAACTTAAGAAAACACTTGCCACCTCAAATCATTTGTAAACAAGGTAGAATGTGGAATCGTCAAATAAACTGATCTGTCAACCAAGCCAAGTGTGAGGAGGAAGGGGAAAGGGAATGGGGTGACTGCAGAAAGGCCGTCTGAGGGGCGGTGGGGGTGGGAAGGTCCTGTTCTTGGCCATCCCTCGTTAATATCCTGGCTATGAGGCTGCACTGTAGTTGCACAAGATGTCACTCCGGGGAAAGGAGGCAAGGGCTACTCAGGACCCACTCTATTATTTCTTAAAACTGCACTGAAATCTATAATTATGTAAAAATCATTTTTCTAATTAAAATAAATGTCAATCAAAAAACCCTAACAGAAGCACGGAACTTTGGAACATTGACTTACTTCCTTTCTCCTCATGGAATGCTGATTAGGAACATGTTTCATATCCTCATTACCAACGTTCCACCAGTTAATTATATAAATGGGAGAGACACTTACATACTACTTGGAGCCTGGGTTTCAGTTCACAGATTTTCTTAAATAAGATTCTTAGAAGTTTTTTGAAATGTTTTACTTGTTCAACTTTGTTTTGGTGCATTTAAAAATTTGGCTTTGGGAGACTGTAGAGAAATGTGTTAAAACTTGTTCATAAAACCACCCATCCTGCTTTGTGACAAATGTGTCCCATACCATCACATCTGCCTAAGCTTATATCCCATTCCAAGTTCAGGAAACTGTGCTAAATATTTATCACACATCATTGGCTTTGACAAAGAGCTGTAGCATTATCTTATGAACAGATGAAAAAGATGGGTTTGATGGCAGCTTCCTCACTGGTTTGTCTCTTCTGAATAAATAGTGCCTTTCTTTCAATGGTATTTGTCCCTTGTTTGCCATTTCAAGAGTTATTATAAAAAATAATCACTAGCATGGATGCCATGTGATAACAAGGTTTATTTTACAGTTTTCTCCATCGTGTTGAAAAGCTCTCTCCCTTGGGAAGTGAGAATGAGCACTATTTTCCCCCAGTCTTGGTAACACTCACCATTGTCAACAGCATGACAGTGATTGTGTAAAAGCTATCATGTACATGAGGGGGCTGGGTCAAAGTGCTTCCCTGGTGGTAATCACTCCTGAGTTTCCAACCACAGTGACCCAGTCTGCCGGATCATGGGCCGGTTCATATCTTGTGGAAGGAAAACAAACAAACATTTTAAAATTAAAAAGTAACATAAAAAGACAAATCAGAATACTTATGGCCTAGGAGCACCATTCCTATCATAAGCAATGTGGAAATTCTAAGACCAGTGAAACCATGTGAATGTCCATGAACTTTGTGAAGGCACAAGAACGACAGTGTGACGACCCTATTTCTGTGCCAAGTCGATGCTCCCTGGAATGCTAAGTGTCCCCCTTCACGTTGGACTGGGCATAACATTGTCTGCTCTGGCTTAATGTTAAACACCTACCCTCTCTTGCAGGGGAGGCGGAGAACTTCACTAGCTCTGCAAGGTTCACTTTGAAGCAAAATGCAAAGGATCCCAGTGGGTAATCTGGCCCAGCCCTTCACCTGTGTGGACCTGACACCATTTTAAGAGGTAGGAATGCCAAGCTCCCAAGGATTTCTGAGAGCCATTGGCCAACAGAGGGCATCTTGGAACCATCTCTGGTTGCCAACAACAATTGCCTACCAAAGGGCCCACAGTAGCAACTTTCTGTACTCAACCAAACAACAATCACAGGTCCAGAAAGGGGTGGAGAAGAGCAATCCTTCCGCACTTGGTAAACTGTTTTCCAAGGGGTTAACAACTGTCGTTCTCTGACTCCTTATAGGTCACAGTTTTTAAAGGTATTGAAGCTTTTCCATTTTGTACTTCATCTCTTAAGTAAAGTTTCAGAAGCTTTCGTGGCTTTGCAATGTTTCCAAACCGTGTAGAAGCTCAGAGTTCTGTGGAACATCTCAGGCCAAGACATAGCCCTCTATGCAAGCCTGGGCATGACAGGTTAACTACAAGGAATGCAGGGGGAGCAGAACAAAACTGAACAACATCTGCACACCAGATATTGCTTCGGCCTTATTGCACAAGGCACTCAACCAACTCCTTGGAAAAACAATTATCTGAGGCTAAAGTGAATGGACTGTCCAGTTTTTAAGTTCAGCACAATCCAAATATTTACTGAAATCTACTGAAGAGCAACCATACTCAGGAAAACATCAATAAAGAAGACACAGGCTCTACATCAGTGGTTCCCAAAGGCCCTTGGCTGGCAGCATCAACTGTGAACCTACCAGAAATGCAAATCTTCACCCTAGAACTTTGCATCACAAATTCTACCAGCAGGACTTAGCAATCTGCATTCAACAAGTCCTTCAGGGAATCTGATGCATGCGTTGTTTGACAGCCACTGCTTAAGGGCTGCACTTATTCAGCAGGCACCAGTGTGGTTTCTGGTTATTGCTCACACTGAGAACATTGCAGAGATTGAGAACAAGTGTTGAGAAATTCTGATAACCATTGGTATTGCTGTGTCCCCCAATATAGGATTACTTTTCTGGTAATTAATTTGAGGCATATTGTACAAAATTATCACTCTGTGATTAATTGGAAATATTTTTAAAATCTGGCTTTCCTAGCGGGTATGTTGGGAAACATTGCCCTAAGGAAGGGGGTCTCAAGCTCCAGTGTAGACAGGTGCTAAGCAGGTGACAGAGATGAGCAAAGTGGGCCTGACAGGGATGGGGGCCAATGGTCAAGCTTGGCCTTGAGAAAGGGCAAGATGCGGGAGCCCCATTCTGTCTCAAATGGTCCATGCCCCCCCCCCCCCGTAGAACATAGACCAGATGCCAAATCTTCTTGATTTTTTCAAGAGCATCTAGAAAATCCAAGTTTCTGTACATAATCTCTTGATTTTTAAAGACTAAAAACTTTACTTTCAAAAAGAAGACATTTAACTCAAGTGCCCGTGGATAGATGAATGGATCAACAAAATTATAGTAAATGGACATGGATATTCTTCCTTACCAAGGAAGGAAACTATGACATGTGCTAAACATGGATGAACTTTGGATACATTATGCTAAGGGAAAGAAAGCCAGGCACTTAAAGACAAATGCTGTAGGGTTCCACTCATGGGGTACTGAAAAAGTCAAATTCACAGGGGTAGACAGTAGAAAATGGGGTGCTAGTTTTTAGCAGGTATAGAGTTTCATTTAGGCAGATGAAAATGTTCTGGGGGTAGATGGTGGTGATGGTTACACAACCATGTGTACGTACTTCATGCCATTAATCTGTACACCTCAAACTGGTTAAGATGACAAATTGTATGTAAACCGTACCAAATTTAAAAACAACCACTTCTGAAGTCCAGAGCAAGAAGGCTGTCCATTTATAATCTCTGGTAAAAAGGGAAAAAGAAACATGTAACATTATTTTCGTATAAAAAAAAAAAAACCCTAGAAGAAACTGTGCTAGATGGAAAGGGAAATGAGCAGGCAAATTCTCCAGGCTGGGGAGAGGAAGCTGCAGAATGAGGAAGACAGTTAAGCTAGGGTTGTGGTTTGGATCTGGAATCCACCACTGTGCCTCAGATGCTCAGTAGAGGGTGACTGGGATATCCGGGTACCTCTGACTTACTGTCGGGAGGGAGGGCTCAGTGAGGGCCCATCTTTGGGGGCCTGACTGGAAGCCTATAAGTCTGGCCCTGGCTCCTCCTTTCTCTTTCTGCTTCCTGAACCACCATGACATGAGCAGCTTCCCTCTGCATAGGTCCTTCCACCATGCTGTTTCTGCCTTGGAGCTGGCCCACCATGCAAGGACTGGAACTTCTGAACCTGTGGGCCCAAACAGATGTTTCTTCCTTTCAGTTGTGGGTGTTGGGTATTTTGGCTCAGCAATCAGAAAAGTGACAAAGATGCCTAGCCAGTAAGTGGGCATTTGTCAGGGGGCTTCTCATATTTTCACAATCGAGATGGAGTCAACCTCAGGAACACATCAAAGGGGCTCATTTGCCAATAAGAGTCCCCCTGGTGTGGGCTAGTTAAACAGAACGAGCCACCCTTCCTGTTCTTCCATCCTCACCTTATCAGACTTGGAGTTCTGTCTGGATCCATAGAACTGAAAGTTCCCAGCTGGACTCCAGGCCTGGCAATGTCCTCTCAACTGACTGTGAAGCTCTGGGGGTGAAAGGCAGGTGTGTTGTTGGCATCTACCTCCTGAACCCTCACGTGGCACTGGCCACTGCCCTCCCAAGCTGCTGGGACTGGTCCCCCTTGCAGGAGAAGAGCTGCTCTTGGTTTTCCACAGCAATGACAAGGCTGGGAGCTGTGTGGGTTTCATAATTCAAAGGCTGCAAAGCCCAGAGAGAGGACTTCATTAGCACCTGCTGCTACTCTGGATGAAGGAAAGCTCAGCATCAAGTCATCCTCACGAACTCGAGAGCTTGTGGCTTTTCCACTTCATTTATTATTTACACTGTCTTTGATAATGATCAAAAGACAGTCTTCAGCTCATTTTCAAATCACTTATGGAGTTCTTTTTTCATTCCCTCCTCCTCTCCTGGTTGAAAAGCACCACCATCCATCAGAGGGTAATGAAAAATGCAACAAAAACTATCACTTAATGAAACATTAATGTGACAACCAAGCTGCAAAAAAACCAAGGGAACTTAGGGAAATATAGATATTAATGATCATGGTTATCCAGGGGACAAAGTGGCCAGTGGCTTAAAAGGACTGAAAGGCTGGGCACGCTTGAAGATTCAATGGCAGGCATCCGGGGCACAGGCTGGGCAGAACCTTGGTATGCACAGTATGATCTGGGTGCCGGCAAAACCTACAAGTCTTCTAAGTGACAGGCAGAACCCAGGCCCCAAGCAGACCAACTGTCTCAGGTGTGCATCTTCCCTGGGCAACTCACATGTACCATGCAGGGGACCCTAGTGTTCTGGTGTCTCCCTGGGACTATGAAGACTAGAAGCACTGAGTCAGATCACCCATTACAATGCCGTTCCACCACTGTCAGGCTGCGTGAGTCCGTCTAAAGGTTTTGCGCCCTGTATCAGTAAAATGCAATGCTACTACTGTCCTCCACGGGCAGCTTTTTCATTAGGCATGGTAGACAGTGCCAAAGACTCACTGTACTTTTTAAAGGCCACACAAATGCTCCAAGTTCTTTCAACTTTCAAAGTTTAATGTTAAAAATGATTAACACTCAGAAGAAAAGAAAAGGGAGAACATTTAGGTTGCAAACCATTTCATTTTCTTAGCACATCAGAAAAAAATGAAAATTTTAGGGCATACATAAGTGTATTAAATTTTGCCTAAAAAGTTGAGGTATGTAGTAATATCAAAAATAATTCCTAATACTGATTGTATCTTAGTAGGAGGAGCCCACAGCCCAGACACAGAAGTTGCAGTGGGGCCCTGCTTTCTTCACAGCGTGACACAGAACACAGTGTGCTAAGGACACAGCATACCTGCTCTAGTTCCATATCCCTGATTTGACACAGAGAGGCCTCAGCATCTACAACCACCCAGCTGGTCTGCCGTGGTTGTGGTTATAGCTTTACCTTAATAACATTTAAAATCCCTTCAATGGTCTCAGGATCAGCTAAGACATCAAAATGTCCCTCTTTGTTGCCCTTCGATATGGAGAATTTTACTCTCCAAGCCCATGTAAATGGTAAATCAGGATCTTGAACCAAGAGATGCAACACACCCTGGAGGACTTGACATTCAGAAATTTGAATCTTATACTGAAAGAGGCAACTATCATCTCCTTGTAATGGAGACAAAGAAACGCATTTTGGAAAGAAGGAAAGAGAGGGAAGAGAGGAGGGAGGTGAGCGGAGGGAGGTTCTTATTGCAACACCCTGGGCTTTTCTTTTGGTATTGAATTTGAACTCAGGATATTTGAAACTGCCTACTACAAGAGAAGGAGCAGCGGTAAGGAACAGCATGTGCCCCTACCTGTGATTTGCTGCCTACAGACGAATAATTCCCAAAGGGCCATTCAACCCAACTCAGCATTCCATTTTGCTAATAATTTTTAAAAATAATAATACACATCCTAGTTTACATGCTCTAAAATCTTAGTTCTCCTAAAATAGGATACTTGTGATTATTTAGATCAAAGTGATTATGTTTTAAGCACATGGAGATCTTACAATAGCTTGTTATTCAGTATTTTGATGACAATGTCTCCTGACGAGCACATCAAAACAGCAGTATATTTTTCTTCCTGGCTGTCTTTTGAACCAAGCCCAGGAAAGATTTTGAGACAAGGGTCAATTATAAGATTATTTTGCAGTTATTACACACTTTTTTGTTGAGGTCCTTTCATTAGAAAACATTTCACTTTGGATTATTTCATTAAAAGTTTTAAGTTACACCTTTTAAAAATAATTGTTTGCACCATTTATGCAGTAGCGGCTACTATATGTTAGATTCTCTTTTAGGTACTTGCAAAAACAATATATCATCTTTAAGGGGCTGACGATGAGGGGAGATATATAGACAATAAATAAAGCAAATACATTAGTTAAGTAGAAACCTATCTAATCAGAAGAGGAAAGAAGAACAAAAGGGCTAGAAGGTTGGGGTTGGGGGAATTTTAATTAGAGAGTCAAGAAAGGCCTCATCAAGAAAGGTCAAGAGAAAGAGCTAAGTATAATAGACATTTACTTTTTCTTTTTTCGGGACTGGGGATTGAACTCAGGACCTTGTGCTTGCGAGGCAGGTGCTGGAACTACTGAGCTAAATCCCTGGCTCTGCAATGCTTTCTTAAAGCCTAGGAATCCTGTGCTATGTGAAATCTTATGTAGAACTCCAATATGTAAATCAAGGGAGCCAAAGAAACAAGGCCAGAATTTACCTACTCATCTTCTCCTCCAGCATCCTGATCATAGTGTTTAAACTTGTCAGCCAGAGGTGATTCTGCTCCTACCCCCACCCCCCGGTTATCAAAACCAGGGAGTGCGCCTGGCATCTAGTGGGTAGAAACCAGGGATGCTGTCAAATATTCTACAATGTATTGTACAGCCCTCCACGACAAAGAATTTCCCATCCCAAAATGTCAGTTGCACAGAGGTCAAGAAACACTGGCTTCAACCTAACAAGGATTCTTTATATTCCCTAGGCCTCAGTTTCCTTGTCTGTAAAATAAAATTAATGTGATAGCTTTAAAAATAACGAAGTACATTTTCTTAGCATATTTTCTGGCAAAAAGTTATAAAAGGTGGAAGGTTATGTGATTCTTACTGAATGGTTATCACAGTGGGTTGACTATTAACTTAAATGACTTTGGAGAACTGCATGTATCTTATTGGTGCCTCAGCAAAGCCAAGCTTAGGGCTTGGGGACTGTGTGGAAACTCAGAACCAGTGTAGCAGGTGCCCTACCTGGTCCTGGGTAAATGTGGCACATGGTTGTTGCCTTCCTGAATATCGATATGAACTGTCCCCGTAGATGACAAGGATGGCTGTCCACAATCCCTTGCTCTGATGAGTAAGGTAAACTGAGGGGCAGTCTATGTGAGGAGGATGAGGAACTATTTATAGGGAATACAGAAAAGTGACATATCTATAGGAAATGTTGCATTTTAGAATTTCAATAGCAAGGTTCCCCATGGAAGGCTCCCCACTACAAACGTAGACCTCAAGTATGGGACTCAAAAACAGCCAACATGTTTTGTTTTGTTTCTTTAAATAATAAAATCTACACAACCTCATAATATACGCATCCTGAGTCAGATTTCTCTACTAATATGACCAATCCAGAAGCCACTTTCTTTCATAATGGTGTTTGAGAAACAAGGAAATAAAGGATGAGAAATTGGAGTATTTTCTTGTTCCAAATCAGCTGATAACATCTGAAAAATAGGTTGACCTAGAAAGAAATTTTTAAAGTTATTACTGTGAACTAAACACGATCTATTAACCCAATATAAGGATAGGATGTTAGATGGCCTGGGGCATACACCAGAATGAATGAAATATCTAAATAGAATTAGGAAATTGTAATGAAGAAAAATGGCAAACACACTAACAGAAATGAGCAAAAGAAAAGAGTAAGTAACTGATAAAAAATAGAAAGGGCTGAGAAACATATCACAATGTTGAACCGCGTAATAGTCAAAGATGAACAATATATCACACACTGTCATATGTTGCCGGTGAATGAATAAAGTCTGCATGCTCTTTGAACCAAAAGTCTACCTCTCTGAAAATATGCAAAGTAAATAATGTTTCAGTGGGAGGCTCAAATATATTCACTGAAATATATTTTATAAAAGTAACAAAACACAGATGTTCAGCAATAGGGATTGGTTAAATATCTTAAAGTTTACCCACAAAATAAGATATTGCAGAACAAGAGGTTGGAGGAGAATACTGTTAGGTTATAAACAGTAAAATACAACTTTTCCAAGGGAAATTCACGACTCTACACATATAAAAACACACTCAGCATCTGAAGATATTTAAGTATGAATATATATATGTATACATTTTGTACTATTATAAAGATGAAAAAGTACATATATGTGAATATGAATTTAATTATTTTTAAAAATCTGCAAATAAATATATGTATACAACCCGCAGTGTGTTCATATACACACATACATAAACTGCAAAGATGCCGGAGATGTAGCTCAGTGGTAGACTGCTGACCTAGCATGCATGGGGCCCTGGGTTCAACCCCTAGCACTACAAAAAGAAGGAGTAGAGTGGGTGGTGGAGGTCCTCAGGGGAAGGGGGAAACCTGGACAGAGTAGAGACAGGGGAGGAAGCCCCTCACACATACCTGCAGTTTGGTTCTCCTTCACACTGATGTTAAATTCCTTTTCAGGAAACTGGGGTACATGATCATTCACATCACTGATCCTAATGTTGAAAATCAAAGCTTCATCCATAGTTTTTCCACAACATCAAAACAAACCTAGGGAGCAAAGAACTATATAAATATTGCAGACCCGTTTACCTGAGGACACTAATCAAATAACTGTTATAATTATGTGTTTGCACTGTGTATTGGCCAGCTTTTCTGTCACTGATACACAGTACCTGACACCCACAATTTGAAGGAGGAGAAGTTTAATTTAACTCCAGTTTCAGAGGATTCAGTCCATGGTTAGCTGGCTTGGTAGAAGGGAATGGGGTAGCAAAGATGTTTAGCTCAAGCATGGCAGCTGGGAAACAGAGCAGTGGAACAGTGCCAGAGAGGATGGAGCGAGGGACCAGATATGGACCCTAAAGGCCACACCTCCAGGACCCACCCAGACACACCCAGAAGCATGCTTTCCTAATCCCCTAGGCAGCTCCCAATCCATTCAAGTTGACAGTAAAGGTTAACCATCACAGCTGTCTCCACTAGACTGGAAGTTCCTGCAGGCAGGATTCACATCACTCTCACGTGCTGTGTAGCCCCTGGGACTGAGCATTGCCTTGGTGCAACCTAGATGCTAAATAAGCATGAGTAGAACAAATCAATGCACTAACCTGAAGAAAAATATCATCAGTTCTTACTAGGTTCAAATCACAGTTTCTCCACCTGGGTGAGCGTAGCAAGGTGCTTGTGAGCACCAGTTTGCTCGTAAAGACCAGTTATCAGTATCATCCTGAGAAGTGAAGACCCTAATGAATATGGTTAAGACATGCAGTTAACCGATATTTAAGGTTTGGGGAAAACGAGTGTTTACAGGAACCAGCACAGCCACTGAAATGTGGTCTGTTCTTAAATGGTCACTGATCTTACTGGCATATGTGAGTAAGAGACACTGTTCCTTCTCAAACGTGCCTGTGTAGAGTCCTTCCTTCCCTAAGGTACCAAGTCACTAATTTAAGTTTCTGCCTTAAAGACTATTTTAAGAAACAGAATTAAGCCCAAACAAAGAGAAGGTAGGAAACAATAAACATACGATTATGTATCAACACAATAAAAAACAGCAAAGCAATGATATCAAGAAACTAGGACCTGGTTCTTTGAAATAGTAAGATGGGCAAACCTCCAGAAAAACAAACGAGAGGAAAGAGGGGAGAGAGAGAGAGAATGGGCAGGGGAATCAGCATCAGGAATGAAGTATCACTACAGATTTTATGTAATAAAGAAATAACATGAACAAGTTTATCTTGATGTCTTCAACAACTTAAGAAAAATGGACCAAATTCCCGAGAAAAGAAAGCTACCAAAACTCTTTCAAGAAGAAATAAACTGAATAGTCCTGTATCTATTTTAAAATGGAATTTGTAGTTCAGAATCCACTAAAAAACAAAAAACGAAAAAAGCAACACCAAAAAATCCCTATAGGCCCAGATGGCTTCATTGATAAATTTTAGTAAAATCTGGGGGAAGAGGTAGTACCATTACAACATAATCTCTTCCAGGAAATACAGGAGAGAAAGCTTCATGCATTGTATGAGAATAATACTGCCCAAATACCAAGCCAGGTTTTTAAAATTAGAAGAAAGCAATAGAACAGTATCTTTCATGATCTAGACTCAAAAATCCTCAGCAAAATATTAGCAAACAGTATTAAAAGGATAGCACTGTATTACAAGGACAGTACATTATGACTGAAAGAGGTTTATCCTGAGAATATAAGGCTGATTTAACACTTGAAAATCAGTGTTAGCAATGTCACAAGATATATATACCAGCAGTGATTAACTGGAAATCAAAGTTTTAAAAATAGCACCATTTACAAATCTAAAATATGTGCAGGATTTGTTTACTGAAAACGACTAAACATTAATTAAAGAAATCAAAATTTAATGAAAAGATATACCATTTTTATGAGACTAATAATGCCAGAATGACAATTCTTCCCACATTGACTTGTATTCAGTCCGAGCCCAAAACAAATGACTAACAATACTTTTATAGATCTCAACAAGCTGACTTCAAAGTTGAAGGTAAAGGTAAATAGATTTGAATGGCCAAAATAATTTTTGAAAAAGAAAGAGCTAGAAGTCTCATACCATATGATTCAAAATGTATTATATAAAGATACAGTAACCCAAGGAGTGTAGCATTGGTGAAAAGATACAAGTGTGCCTGGGACAGAAGAAAGGGTACAGTCAAACACAGGTCCACACACAGGTGCTTCAGTGATTTTAAGAAAGATACCAAGGCAGTTCAGTGGAGGCAGTTCAGTGGAGGCAGTTCAGTGGCCTTCTCCATCGGTTGTGCTGGAAAACTCAATGTCCATATTCACAAAATAAATAAATAAACCCCAATCTCTGTCTTACACCTTAGGCAAAAATTAATTCAAAACTGATCATAGGCTGAAATATAAGTATTATACTATAAAACTAGTTTAAAAAAATAAAGGAGAAAATCTTCATGACCATGTGTTAGATATGAAACCATAAACACAACCCAGAAGAGAAACTATTGATTAAATAGGACTTCATCAAAATTTAAAACTACTAAAGGAATAGTAAGTCAAAGCGATAAACTGAGAGAAAAATATCTATATATCATGGACAGACAAAGGATTTATATTCAAAATTCAGTAGTTAGAAAAACTATGTATAATTTGAAAATGAATAAAGCATTTAAACAGATATTTCTCCAAAGAAGATATATAGAAGTAAATAACTAATCATTTATCGTTATGGATAATACAAATTATCTCAAAGATATCTCACCCCACACCTGTTACAATGTGAAAATGTAGACACCTGACCATACATACCAAGCACTGACAAAGACTCAGAGCAATCGGAAATCTTATGCACTTCTACTAAGAATGCAAAATAGTTCACTCACTCCAAAAAATACTTTAGGAATTTTTACAAAGTTAAACATATACTTATCATATGATCCAACAAACCATTTTAGATAATTAATCAAATGAAATGAAAATTGATGTTCACACAAAAATCCATATGTTCATAGTGGTGGTACCTGTGGTCACCAAAAATTGTTAATAATCCAAGAGTCCTTCAATTACAGAGTTGATAAATGAACAGTCCAGAAAATAGACTGCAACTCAAAAATAAAATGAACAAACAACTGATGCACACAACAGCTTGGAGTGATATCAGATGCTTTATACTAAGTGAAAAAAATCTAGACTTACCAAGCAACGTACTGTGTGATTCCATTTCTACAATATTCTAAAGAAGGTGAAAATGTGGGGAAGAAGAGATTAGCAGATTCTGGGAATGATTTGGTGATAAAGGGGCAGTAGGAAAAACGTAAGGAATGATGGGACAATTTTGTATTTGACTGTGATGATAGTTGAATGTGAAACTGTCAAAACTCATAAAAATGGATTACTGTATGTAAATGTAAAAATTAAATTGAAGAAAATAAAATACAGTACACATAAAACATAGAAGAAGTAATGTATTTAAGAGTTCTTAGGTCATTGCATTGTTGAATAAACTATAAAAAAATCTAGTAAGTGAAGAACGAATATTGTGATTTCTCTATATTTGTTGGCTCCCCTTTGTGGAATGAGATCAAAGAGTGTGGGTGGGGTGAGATTTTTAGTGGCTTTCATAGACCTCAGCAGTGTTTAAATTTTTGTAAGTAGACTTTTTTTCACACCTAAAGTAAATTTTTGTAAGTAGACTTTTTCACACCTAAGTATCAAGAACTCTCATTCATTATTGGTGGAAATGCAAAATGGCATAGCCACTTTGGAAGTCTGCATAGCATTTTCATAAAAAACCAAACATACAAAAAAAAAAAAGAAAACCAAACATACGATCCTGTAATCCAGTAATCACTCCTCCAAACAAGTTTAAAATATATATCCACAAAAAACCTACATGTGAATGTGACAAGCAGCTGCATTCATAATTGTCAAAACATGCAAGCAACCAAGGTATCCTTCCAAAGATAAATAGATAAGCTGTGGTACATACAAGGGATGATCAAAATACATGGTGAACATTTAAGTTAAAAATCTACACATTGTCATTAATCCTCCTCAAAATACTTCCCCTTGCTTCGAACACACTTATCCCACTGTTCTTGCCACTTTCTGAAGCAGTTCTGGAGTCCTCTTTCGTGAGTGTCTTTGGAGGTTTTGGTCCAAAAATGTGGTGAATGGTGCTGCTGGGTGTCAGTCAATGGAAAGGCAGCTCCTGAAAACATGGCTGTGTGTCTCATCCACCTTCTTCACCGGATCTTCACTGGCTCTTCTCTAGTCAAAATGAACATGAAAGGTAGATGTTTGAATTGATTCGGGGCATCATGGCAGCCACAACAACACAACTAAAATCATAAAGGAGGACTTCCAGACCTGCTTCAGAAAGTGGCACAAATAATGAGATAAGTGTGTTTGAAGTAAGGGGAAGTCTTTTGAGGGGGAATTAGAGCTATGTGTCTTTTACTGTGATAAATATTTAAAAATTTAAACATTCCCCCTATACAGGCAATGGAGTATTATACAAGGACAAAAAGACAGAGGGATCCTAAATGGATGCTGGTAAGTGAAAGAAGCCAGTCGGAAAAGGCTGCACATTGTACGACTCCAACTTTATGACATCCTGGGAAAGGTAAAACTCTGGAGAGAGTTAAAAAGAAATCAGTGGCTGCCAGCGCTTGAGGGAAGGAGGGATAAATATGCAGAACACAGAGGACTTTGGGAGTAATAAAACTATTCAGGAGGATACTGTGACCTTGGATACTTGCTGTTATGCATATATCCAAACCAGTAGAAATGTACAAGACCGAGAGTGAACCCTGAAGTAGCCTAGGGGCTGCAGTTAATCATAGTGTAAAACACTGGCTTGTCAATTATAGCAAATGACACAGCACACTCCCGCAAGATGTTTCTAATAAGGAAATCTTGGGGCTAGAGGATGAAGACTCTGTGCACTTCCCGTGTTATTTTTCTGTAAATTTGAAATTGTCATAAAAAATAAAGTCCATTAACTTCCTTGTAAAATTGAAAGAGGGCATATATAATTTCATAT